CCCCAAAACCCCAAAACCCCAAAACCCCGATATGGCTAAAATCTTACTAATTATAAAACTATAAAGATCCATGATAATCTGAAGAGATAGTTCCCATCTAGAATGATAATCTAATTTATCTTAGAAACAAAGATACATATAAAACTGATTCCTCCATGAAGGAGTTGCCTTTAAAGGCATCCAAAAACCCTGTGATCACTTTGGGTCAAATAAATCAAACAAGGCTATATAAACTAGGAAGATCACAATTAATTTCATACTGTTTGAGTAACTATAACCTTGTAAAAGTATCTTCCTAGCCTCTTGAACCGTTAAAGCTCATTGTATAAAATTGAGTTGAGCTTAAATAAAAAGATATCTTTCGAGATTATTTGTTAAACTCTTTTAAAACTGATCGAGTTATGACTACTGCATAGGCTTTGCCTTCTTCTGCAGTAAGCTCTTCTGGGCTTCACCTTCTGAAGTTTCTGACTGGTTAAGCTCTTTCTTCTCCCTCTCGTACCTCTCCTTGTCCTTAGCAGCAAGTTCTTCGAACTGAGATTTGGCTTCAGGAGTCAGGGCTCTCCACTCTTGAGCTAGAAGCATAGTCACCTCTTTGATGCTCAAGTCAGGGTTCTGTTGCTTAAGTTGTTCCCTCCTGCTTTTGGAAAACTGGAAGAAAGGAGACATTGGTTTTTTAGGTCCAGACTTAGACCTCCTTTGGACTCTATCCTTGTCTCATCTGGTACTATCTTGTGCTAAAGGAAGTTCAGATTTCTTCTCAGAAGTTTGCGACACTTCTTTAGATCTAGATTCATCCTCTTTGTCTTCTTCGCCTATATATTTACTTAGTGTTCGATTTCAGGTAATCAAAGGAGATATGAAATAGCCCTTAAGTTCTTTTCAGGAATTATATTAGAAGTTTAACATACCAGCTCATTCTGATAGATCCTGATTATCTTCCTGGTCATTTCTGAGGTTGATTTTAGATTGCATAGAAGAAGGAATTGTCTCCGAAGAGGTCTCTTTTGTATCGAACCCTTCCTTTTCCCTCTCGTACCTAAGTTCATCTTGCTTTGAGAGTTCTACAAATGGCTTCTTCTGTTCATCAGATAGTGCTCTCCACTCTGCTCCAAGCTTAGCAACAATTTCTCTATGATTCAAGGTTGGATTTTCTTCCTTAATTTCTCCTCTTCTTTGTTTATGGAAATAGAAAAATGGAGGCCAAGCTCTTATAGGTCCCTTTCTTTGCTTTCTCGTTCTTACTTGTTTAGATTTATCCCAAATAGAGCCCTTGTTTTCTTGCATGTATAGTTCCTTTTCTTTCAGATATCTGGCTTTATCCTGCTTCTCTTGGTCAATGTAGGGTTGTTTCTCAGTTTCAGAGAGTCCTCGCCACATTTCACCCATCTTTTTCACTCATTCTCTATGCGAAAGATTTGGATTTTGTTCTTTATATTTAGGAAGTTGTTCTCGCTGAAAGAAAAAGAAGGCAGGCCAATTTCTCTTCGGTGGCTGAACTGTCTGAGTTTGGTTGTTGTCCAGCTCATCTTCAACCTTATGAGCTGCTTTGAGCGTTCTCTCCTTGAAGCTATCCTCATATTGCTCTTCCATTGTTGATAAATTATAGAGCTTCAATTCTTTACAGCTGATATGGGGTTTTGGGGTTTTGGGGTTTTGGGG